AAAAAACAAATAATAATTTTCTTTTCTTTCCTTTTTTTTAAGGATCCTACTAAATTATTTACTTTACAAGGTCATTTTTATTATGTAAATATTATGGATAAGAGAGAAGAAAACAAATTATGGAAAAAAGGAAACCTAAAATTAAGGAGTAAGAAGAAGAAACAAAAAAAAAAGATAATAATAATAAAAAAAAGCATTTGGGAATTTTGCATGTGATGCAAATTTTATACCTTATAGTAGTTAGGTACACAACAGCAATAAAAATAATAAATGAATATTCAGATTTAAATTCCAAGTATAAATTTTGTAAATAAAAATAGATACAACAATAATAATGTATGCAAATTTATTTCCCTTATATACATACAAATATGAGTAAGTAAGCATAACAGTTTTCCATTATATAAGTACAGACAGGTAAATATGATACGAAGTAATTGTGTACTTTATATTTACTTTAATATTTTATTATAAATATTCTCCAAGTATTTGAAATAGAATTTTAAATGTAATAAAAAAAAAAATATAGTTTATTAAAAAAAAAACTAATTTATTCAAAAGATTTTAATCTGTTTTTAATGGAGAAAAACAAAAAATTGTAATTTGTTTACGTGCACAATTTTAATTTTTAACTAAAGAAGAAATTGTGTTTCATTTCTTATCGTTTAATGTTATTGGAAATATTTTTAATTAAAAATGTTATTAAAATTTCAATTTTCATAATAAACAAATAAATTTATATTTAATTGCTCTTTGAATATATTGCATTATATGTATGTACAGAATTTATTCAAAAATTCGGAAGAAATTGTCAAAAGAATGCAAACATTAAATTCATATTGTTTATACTGTCAATTGATAAAATTGTCTTGTCAACTGTTTATGACAAGGAACAATTGTACTTTTTTGATAAAAATAGGTACATTAATATAAAAAATTAATTAAAAAATAATTAAAAATATTAATTTAATAAGAAATTGAACAATGCAATTTAACAGAAAATACTCGAACCCCGTACCTATGTTACTACCGATAACATTACACAATCGCAAATACCGCCTTATATAAAATAAAATGCATTTTTTTTTTATTATACATACCTATACCTATTAATTATGTAATTTATTATTATAATACTTAATAATATCAAAATAAATTTTAATTTAATCACAAAGTATTTCCTTAAAATTGTCTTCTGTTTTGATAAGAAGTTCATTTTTCGTTTTTCAGCATAAGTACTTAATGTCTTATAATAGATTACGCTTATAAGTACTTATACATTCGTTATTTATCCGTCATTTACAAAAATAAAGTTTCAAGTACATTATGATAACTTTTATTAACTAAAAAAAATTGCCATACTATTTAAGTACGTATTTAATATCGAAGCCGTAAAAGTGCTTGTACATCCGTAAAATTATTAATGTCATTTTATTAAAGTTTATAATTTTTATTGACACAAGAAATTCGATTCGATATTTCTTTTTTCCATGTCGTACTATTAAATATGGAATTTTCTTAAATTAAATGGTTGTAGTTCAAAATAAATAGTGTAGGTGCTACAATATGTGTATACACTTGAATTACAGCTTAAGTAAAGGTAATTTGAGACTATTGAAATATTATTTACATTTTTTTAAATTCTTTTTTAAATTTGTATATGTATGTACGTATACATAAAGAAAAGGTGTTAAAGATGACATATTAAGAGTAAACACAATATAAAGAACTATGTATAAGTATATTTTATGCATATGTAAACTCTCATCCATACACAAAATTTTAGTATCCAATATCGAAAAAATTCCTAATAAAACAATGAATTTCAATTGTTGGTTTCTTTTCATTAGAAAAACACAACGGCAAAGAGCTATAAAATTTGAAAATTAAGTGAAATTTAAGCACATACTGTACTTAAATTTGAAATAAATGTTCTATAGAAAGATTTTAATTTCTATGATTAATTTTTATATTATTATCTAATGACATTATATATAGGTATGCATAAGTATAAGCAAGTACATTTTACTATGTATTCCATTAATCATTTTTTATTTGCAGTTCATTATTCGCATCCACCCCCCTTTTTCAATTAAAATAAAAAAAAAAAAACAATGCATAAGTATTTATATAATTTCTAATAGAAGAAGAATACCCATTAGATAATTTTTATGTAGTTAAAATTGATGAGAAAATTTACGACGACATCGAGTTTAAAAAAAAAGATAGAAACAAAAGTACTTACTATACAAATGTATGAAATATTTTGAACGAACGGAAACATTTAATTAAAACGCTTTCATATTATTTTAATGTATGGTCTCAGTCATACCACCTAATATTTTCATTGAATTTGGTTTATATGAGTACATACTACATATATTATGAAGCTAAATTTTAAAATGTATTTTTGTATGAATGTACTTGTTGTTTGTAGATTTAGTTGCTAGCTAAACAATTCTAGGTACAATATTCGTTTGAGAATTACCAGAATAAAAACAAGCAAAGTAAAAAAAAAAAACAGAAAGACAGCACAAAAATTGACAAAGTTAGCAAATTTTTTTTTTATTTACATTATTTAAATAAACAAATAAATGCCTACATATACTTGTGGAAACAGATTTGATAAATTACAAATAAATAAATACATGTGGAGCTGTATGTATGTATATGTATATAGGCCATAGGGTAAGAAATTGTTATTTTTAAGAAAGAACAATAAAAATGAAATATAATTAAAGAGAGAGACAAAAAAAAAAAACGATTAATCCTATAAAATTCGTAAAAGTTTTCTTTTTCACAATGAAAATATCATTGGGCTTTAAGATTCCTAAATTAAAATAATCGGCTAATGTCGGTCACTGCACGAATATGCTTGTACATCTAAATATTCATTTGGAATTTTTTTTAAATATTTTTTAATTAAGCGATTGAAATATTTGTTTAACAAAAAATTAATCGAAAAATTATAATTTATTTAAATAAAACTAAGGCTATTTCGACTTTTCGGCAATCAGTAATTGGACTGTGTCAGGTTGAATACTTTCATTGCAATTAAAATAGTGATTTTTCGAGCAGAAAAGAATCTGTATTTTAAATTATATTTGATTAATATAATTTTACATGGTGTATGGAAAAATTAACTATAGAGTGTTCTTATTAATTGAGTCCACTATTTTTTTAATTTTTAAAGAGTATGTAAAAATTTAAAATACTAAATAACAATTTTTACTACATATAAAATAATTCACAGAATCGAAAAATTATATGTAGGTATTAAAAATATTAAAAAAATTATTTGCTTTTAAAAATTACAGTAAACCACCGGCACCATAAACATTAAAAAAAAAAAATTTTATTTTATCTAAGTATTATTTAAAATAATTAAATACTAAATTACTTTCATTTTTCAAATAATTTTCAATCTAATTATAAATCCATTTCAATTAAATTTTTAATGCGTGCATGTACAAACAATAAAAAAAAAAGTAGAATTTTATGTATGCATACACTTTTAGTACGCAAATACGTAAATACATACATATTGTATTTAGAACTGAAAATACGTGCACATATATATGTATTATATAAATTATATACGCATAGATATTTAATGTATAACCAAACTATATTAAGACCCAGAGCCAACAATATTAAATGAAAACCTAGGACGCGTAAATAGTTTAGTAAAATATTTTTATATATACATAATTATGTATCTACCTTTCATACATATATACATTGTACATATTCGTAAATATACGTTGTATATAAATATCTAGATACAAACATTCAAGCATATTATATATAGCGACTATTAAGAATGAGAAAAAATTTTTGGGGAAAGTTTCTATTTTTATCTTTTTTTTTTATTTGATTTTATTTTTTTACTTAAGCTGGTGATCTTCTTCAGGGATATTCTTCACGTAAGTATAACACTTTATACCACAGTATAATGGATAGTAAAATGAAAAAGAATGTGATCAGTTCCGAAGCAAAAAAAAAATTAATTAAAGTAAATTTGATAAAATTTGATTTTGCTACGGTACTGCTGTAAATCTTTAATTTGTACATGCAAATAAAATCGAAATTTTTCAGCCAACGTTTAAGAATGGAAAGGCATTCGGGTATTTACGTACATACGTACGTATATTACTACCCCGTTCGTTTAAGCTTTAAATCACGATTTGCTGTAGAATTCGACGGTTTACACTTATTTTATTTAAAATAATTTTAGCTACATATTTATATTAGGAATGAATTTATCAAGTAAAAAATTTAATTTGCAAAAATTTTCTATTTTTTTCAATAAAATTTTTATCATAAAATATTTAAAATTTAACATGTAACTATGTAGGTTACTATGTAAAAATTAATGTGGGGAAAATTAAAATTTTTTTCTTTTTGGTGAGGATTGAACATAAAAAAATTTACAGTTAACACTGAATATCCTTTATTATTTTTAAACATAATACATAAATGGACAAAATCAAATAATTTTGTTATAATTTACAGTTTTCTTTTATATTCTGATAACACTTGCTTGCCGGCTCTTTTCGGCTTGCTTTTTATTTTTTCTTTTCATCCAATACTATTAAAAAAAATGCACAAATTTTATTTTCTAAAAAATAATTATTTCTTATTTTTATATTTTTGTATTTAAATAATTTTTTATTTCTAATTTAGAAAAAATAATTTAAAATAATCGTCACCACTTTTCAAGAAAAAAATTTTAATTTTCATTTTTATAAATTGTTTTCATGCAAGTTACATAATCAAAATCGCTATAAAAATCACTCAAAAATTTCGCTCTCAAACACTTGACCGCAAAAAATTCAAAATTTTTTCTCAAAATATGTAATATTGAAATTTGAAACTATTATTAATCCATTTTGAATATAATTTTTCTTTTATAATTAATTATAATAAAAATATTATTAAATATTTTATTTTAAAACTTTTAATTCTTTTTTTTTTTTATTTTAAATTTTGCCGCTCACCTTTTGATCAACCGGAGAATTCAACTTCTAACGAAACAATAATTTGAATGTTTTTCTTTTCTTATGGCGATACCTCTGTTTAGCCGAGAATAAAAATTACACAACATAACAAAAATATACATAGAAAAGTACAGCCATACAGTCACACAAACATTTCAAACATCAGAAATTTTCACTCACATTCAAAATAACATTATTGGTATATAAATTATTTCCACTCAAACATTTTTATAATACATAATACAAAATGTATTAAAATTCCTCCCGCATGATTCTCCCGCTTATAAAACTATTTTGTATGTATGTATGTATTTTTTTTTATATAAATTTTTTTCAATCGTTTTACATACATACATATGTGTTTTTATTAAGTCCCGGGCAAACTGTAATGAATTAGTTTTGCTTAAAATTGTGAATACGTTTATTTTTTTTTAGAAAAACTAAGATTAAGTAAAATAATACCAAAATTTGTGTGTGTTCAATTAGTTGTTATACTTAAGCTTTTACATGGTAACATGAATTAGAGCTAAAGAATAAGGTTAACATTTTATAATTACATTACATTAAATATAATATGAAGTGTAAAAACATATTTGGGGTTTTTTCTGAGTATCAAACCACTAAGTTATAGTGATAATTATCAAAAAAGTTCGGTATTATAGTGATTTTCGGTATTTATAGTGATTATCAGTGAAAGGTCGTGTTTTTGCAACTTTTATGATAAATACAAGTATCACTTAGTGATTCATTCGATACTCAGAGTAAGCTGTTTTTGTTAATACTATGAATTGCAGTTTTTATTTTGAACTCCTATTTTCACTACAATTGCCTGGAACATTTTTATACGGTCCTATACAACAAGAACAAAAACATACTTTTAAATTATGATGAGTGGTTGTGTTTAATTGTGGTTTGTGTAAAAACAAGTTTAATTCAACAAAATATTAATGAATTTTATTTTTAGAAAAGAAATGGAACTGCATATTATAATGATTTGTAGTAGCTTGATACATTTTATAAAATTAAGGTATACAATAATTTAACTTTTCCAATTTTCTATTAGCGTAATAAAGCTAATAGAAGTTTCAATTCGCTGACGATTACAAGCATTTTTGTTTAAACAACGGTTTTCTTCTCGTAAACGTAAACAAACGTTTCACTAATTTAGATCTCAATGTTAGATCAAATGAATTACTGAGTTTGCTTACCATTTCAACATAGAATGACAGATGACAAAATATCTATATTTAACAAATATGAAATTTAATATGAAATGCAATAATTAATTTCACGTTTTAAATCTGCATATAGTTTAGAAAATATAGTTTTGAAAACTTTATTTAACTTGTTTCTTGTGATTTGATTTAAAAAAGAAATTATATGCAAAGCTATAAGTTTTCTATGTTTTCTTTTTATAAATTTAAGAATGAAATACTCATAAAAAGACTACCAAAGGAAAAACTAGGCTAATCGATTACTTCTTTTTAAAACATTTTAATTTTGTTGCGTGATATTTCGGAATTATATTTGGGTTTAAAGAATTTTCTTTCTTTTTGGGAACTAAAAAAAAGGTAATAGTAATGACTTAGTGGGTACAAAACTTTCAAAGTATCAGAAATCTACATTTTCAAATAATATTTAAGTAAAAAAAATAATTGTTCATATCTTTGTTTTACCATTTACTTATAACATGTGTTATACATATTGAGGTTTTTGTATTATTTTTTTTGTATATATCGTATGTCTAATATAAATATTATGTATATTTAAAGAAGTAAATAATAAAAATAATCTGTATATAATTGAATTGCCGATCGAAAAAGCGTTTTTTTTTCATTTATACAGATTGCCATCTCCATGCTTAACTTCTTTAGTATAATAGACAAGAAAATGTGATACAAAATTATAATGATAAGTTTAACTTTCCTTTGCGATTGCTATTATTTTAATTTAAACAAAAAAAAAACTTTTTTAGAAATATTGAGAGGCTCGAACTTAATTCTAAGTTTGTTACAATTTACGTTACAAATTGTATAACAAAAGTATAACATAAATAAATTGTTCTTAGCTTTTCTACATGGGAAAATGTTTAAGTTGTTCTTAATTTTTATGAAATAATTTAAAATGAAAATTTTAAAGCAATCAAGTAAGTGCCTTTTGCATGTGTACATACTTATGTACATGCCATGTTATGTACAAATATATTTTTTGCTTTGCATTAGCATAAATACAATCATACAATTATGATATGTACATACATACATATGTACATATGTGTGTAGATTGGCAATTTTTACATTAAATTCTTCCTGTTTATATTAAAAATCAGTAAATTGAACAGTATTTTGGCAGTTCCGAAACATAAAGCACATATGTATGGATATGTAAATAACTAAATGAAAAAGTATAAGGGAATATGACATTTATAAACAAATATGTAGATATGTATTTAATTATCTAATTCTTTCTAATTAGGTTCAGGATTTAAAGTACGTATGTACATACTTTGTACATACATACGTGATAAAAGTCATGAAAAACTTAATAAACCGATAATGTTCTGTTGCTATTTCAAGTGCAATTTTGATAAATTCGCTTTGAACGCTTCTATACATACATAAGTAAATGTTATTATGTATGTACATTAAATATAATTTGAAATATATTTAATGTCAATTAAATTTGATAAAGTGAAAGTACCATAATATAGTACCATAAATAAAATAAAATAACCATTATCAAGTAAAAGTTTATTATCCTAGATTTTATAACTTTTAAATATTTAAGTACTTGAAAATTAATCTTAACGGGAAAATGCAATACTAATATACATATACATATATGTGTACAAATGGATTTGTAAGTACATATATTCGTATACCTACATAATATGTTCGTAGTACGAAAGCTTTAAATGGGATTAAATTGAATTTTGCAATCAATTCAAAATTGAATATATATTATGTAGGTACATGTGTGCTATGTATCATATAATCATTCATTGTCATTTCTACTCGGCTTAAATTATTTAATCACTGAAAAATGTTTCTTATATGATGAGTAATTATACAATTACAATAATGCTTATTTGATTCTGGTATGTATTAGTTTTAATAATTTATTAAAGTATGTGTTTAATTAATCGAATATAAAATAAAAGAATTAAAGGTTAATTTGCTGTGTTGTTTTTTTACTTCAATTTTGGATTATAAGTCTACAAACACACACATAAAAATTGCTTTTAGGTTTATGATGTGTTGGTAATACAAATATAGTGTCTATGGTATCATAGTAGTTAAAAAAACCGGTAAGTTATTGAATGCAAATAAACTGAATAAAAAAAAATATTTTTGGGTTCAAATATGAATTACTCATCAAAATTTTTTTTATTATTTTTCATAAATTATTATTATTAACACAAGTTTATTATTATTATAAAAAAAATTAATTGATTGAATAAAGTTAATTTATTGTGTTAATTTGTGAAATACATGTTGACATGTACATACGTACATACATATATTCGTTTGTACATACATATATAAACATAATGATGTAGGAATGCTAAATCAGTATTATTAGTATTGTATTTAATTGGAAATTTTACGTTTATGGTTTGGCCTGTGATTTTTTTTGTGTAAATTAGTTGCAAATTTCATAAATTGTCAAAAATTTTATTATTTTAATTAATAATTTCAAAACTTTAAATGCATATTAAGTAGGAAATTTATCATACGAATGTAAATCTAAGTACACTTGCATATGTATGTATGTATGTATGTTTTGCGGATTAAATTTTTCAATCTGATATTGCTGTTACGGTAAGTTAACAATTTTATATACTATGTAATATTATTGAGAATTTATAATAAGTATTGATGTATGCATGTACTTAAATGTGTATGTATCTGAAATTTCCGTAAGTTTTGAAATTAATACAAATTTTTACAAATTAATACAAATAAATAGTTGATAATCAAATTTCAAATAAATTTTCATCTTATTGTTTTTATATGAGCGTTTATTCAGCATTTTACGATATAATGAAAAATTGCATTAATTTTGTTTGCGGATACATACATATGTATGTATATAAAATATTTTATTAACAGAAACCTATAAAAACGAGTATAAATCAAATATCTCAATATGTACATAAGTAATTTATTATTCTCAATTAACGATGTAACAACTATAAGTAGCCTAACAGATAATAAAAATAATTTACGATTATTTTGTTATACTTTTAATTTTTTTTTGTTAAATTAAATTTATTGCAAAAACAATATTCCACCCGCTTGTAAATATTTTTATAAAAGTAGTATATAAGTTACATTAGATTTTCATAAACATATACATACATACCTACATAAATTATGAGAGTATTACAGATTGGTATTACAGGCTCTATTTGTAACACCAAAAAATATCAAACATTTGGTGTTTTATATCGTAGAATTTTTATTAATGCTAAAGTTTCCTTCCAATATACATACATATGTATGTATGTATACAAGGGAAATACTGTTAGTGACAACAAATTTTATGAGTTCCCAAACGTATAACGGATTATAAAGGAATACCGTTTTAAGTATGAACTACTTATAATCAAGCGTTAATTACATAAAATTTGACAAATAACAAAATCTAAAAATATTGATGATTTTTTTTTATAATTTTCAAAATTTTTTTCGTTGCTACATACATAGCTATTTAAGTTTATAAATTTCCTAAACGATTTTACGAGTATATCAAACCAAAAAACATTGTAAATTTGATAATAAAGACTTAAAATTTTTCTAATATTAATTGTATAATCAACCTTTTCATTTAAAAATTTTCATGTGCCAAAAACTTAATATTCACTTAAATACATAATATAACATTTTTTTTTGCAATTTTAGGGTAATTATGTACACTAATCACAATTACATACAATATAAATGTTGTATAATTAAAATATAAATTACATTGTGAATATTGTTGTTTTCATTGTGAATACATTGTTGATTTGGTTTGTTTTTGTGAAAATTTTGAGGAAATATTTTTAATTTTCATTTGAATACATGTTTGCTTGATTGATACAGAAATAATATTAACAGTTTGACAATGCTCAGAATAAAACCATATTTTCTGAATTCAAATTAAGATGATGA